ATACATACATACATACATACATACATACATACATACATACATACATAATATCGATATGAGTATTATGTATTGTGTATATGAGTATTATGTATTTTTGAGAGCAGGCAACTGAATTTCATTTTTAATGTGTGCCAGAGCGCCCATAGAAGAATATGACAATACAGGTTATCTTAAACCTGCGAACACCTAGAAAGAAATAAAACTACAATCAGAAACCAATAGCGATTCATTAAAAACAGATCCTATCAAACAAATCTTATTTCATTCTGTGACAAAGTGACTAAATTCATGTATCAGTGAATTTTTTTCAGTTCACATTTCACCTTCATGCAGCTGAAAGTACAAAGCTCCTGAAAGTGCCTCTGATCTGTGAAAACAAATTGGAGGTGAATGAGGTTAATTTAGAATATGCTGGGAATTATGTATTTAACTGAAGAGTAATGGCATAGCTGAGGTCAACATTGTAAATATGGAGGAGACGAACAATAGAAACAATAAGAATTAACTATCTAGATTTACCATCAAATTTTAAATTGTGCTCCCCCACACCTGGCTATACATATGGACGAGACAAAGTCACATCAGTAATATTTTCTGTTTCTTTTCTGCAGTGAAGCCACCAACGACAAGCACTTGTGAGACTCTGGGAGGTTATTGCCAGAAGCTTGCCTCTGTAGTGTGACATGAACATTGTCTCTCTAGTGTGAAAAATCCAGCTATTGTGGTATTAATGGAAGATGTTGCAAACTGTTATGTAACAGCAAGCAGTGAAACTACAGTGTAATTAAACAATTTAATGAATTTGCATAAAATATTTGAATTTTGTATTGTATTTTGAAAGCGCCTGCTGCAAATGGTGATCTGGATTTGATTACTGGGTTTGGAATTCTGAGAGATCTTTTGGGCACATTGCTATTCTTTGTCAGGCATCCAGAAATTGCCTGTTGCAAATCAATAATTCTCAGACAGGCATAATCTCCAACTGATTTATCAGGAACAAACCTGATCTTTTGGGCACATTGCTATCTTTATGAAATGATGAGCGATTCCACCCATAAGCTTTCCTATGTTTATGAGTTCATGAGAATGCCTTCATCTCATCTCCAACTTATGCATGAAGAAGCTTAAACCTTTCCTTAGCTAGTCTGATGGTTTCCCCATTGAATAGGCAACAAGACCTAGTGTACCTGTGGGTATAATCTTGACCAATTTCACAGATGTTCATGCTCAGTTGATTGAGAGGTGTGGGATAAGCTCAGGACCTACTGCCCAAATTAGCATGGATCCCTCTCTTCATCTCTAGTCTTTGGACATGACCTTCAGGGACTGCAATGTAAAAAAGAAGTAGGTTTTAGATAATGGGTATCATCTTGATTCCCCTCCCCCCACAACTCAGGAATGCCAATTGGATGGCAGCAGATTTTATGCTGATAGGTTTCTGTTGGTCAGTGTTTGGTGTGTTGCACTTTAACTTGATTGTAAGTTAAGGCCTAAAGTTACATTCCAGCTGTGCTACCACAGGTTAAATTGTTTCTACGAATGCATACAGTGTATACAGCATCTGGAGTTTCCAATGCAAAAGCCATTCTGAGTTCAAGAAGCTGATTTCCACAAGCTCTCCCAATCAGAAGCTCTCCAGCTCTTTTTGTACTCCATTTGAAACAAGCCTGGTGTGAAATGGGGAATCCAAAATGATCATTTTCACCCTCGTGTCCTTTACCAATAAGAAGAAGACCAGGTTGTGGCCACATGTGAAGAGCTTCATAATTTATAAAGAAACATCAGCCATATGTATGATTGTATCTATATCACACATTGTATGATGTAGGTGCCAGAATTTAATCTCTGATAAACTACTGAACTCAGAGCCTCTAGAGACGGATTGTTCAGAAGCTAATAGTCCTTCCCCACACTTCCTCCACAACACATTAAGCAGTCTCCTTAAGGTACAATACATGTGAACGGAACTCTAAGAATTTCAACAAACTCATTCTCTGCTGAATTTGCCTTTCTAACAACCAAGGTCCTGTCCAGCTGTAGAGGCTTACGTAGTCATCTCAGGGTGGCTGCTTGGGACCTTCCTTTTGGGCCCAGTAGATCCAGTTTCTTTCTCTTCTTGAGTCTTCTTGACTTTTCAACCCTTGATCCTTTTCCAATTGTTTTACTAGTCAATTTCATAATGATGAAGCTGCAACCTTTTCCTTTTCTCTGTGGTCCAAGTACTGTCCTCCACTTTTGCACCTCTGAGCTGCTCATCTGCCCTGTTAGCAGCAGGAAGTACTGCAATTGGCAATTGAGCAAAACTACAAACTTCACCTAGGACAAGAAGTATCCAGTGAACACGATGGGGAGCCTTGAGTTTTGGGAGGGGAGGGGAGGAGTAATTTTAAAGGAGCATAACAGGAAATACATGTTTGCAATGTTTGCCACATCAGTGATCTATACTATATTTCCACATTCCTATGATACCATAACTTATAAATAGACAGATCTGTGGGCTTTTTCTAGAGTCTTCCTAACTCTTCTTCAGTTCTGCTTCTTTGAACTAGCTGGAGAGATTTCAGAGGCAACTTCAGTCATGAAGTTTCTTTTCCTAACCTTTGCATTGCTTCTTCTCTTCTATGTTTCTTCAGGTAAGAAGAGGCTGAGGAAACTGGGGTGAATAGAAGCAGAAGGGGAAAAAAAAAGAAAGCCTGATAGAAATTGGTGTTGTTGTTGTTGTTGTTTTTAAAAAACATTCCCACTTTTTGAGGGAAATCCATGATTTGAATCACACACACATCTGGCTTTACAATAGTCAGAGGTGAATTTGAAGAACAAATGGATAGTCCTGTAATTTAGATAAGTGCTTTAATCAGACCAGCTGTCCTTCTTCATCAGTATTGCTGCTAAGGGACCTTCCCAATTACTAGGGTCCAGGTAATGGAAGAATTAATATAATAGTACATTTATTATGTGGAACTGGACTTGTGCAACACATTATATCATGGCAAAATGGTATACAGTAGGTTGTGGAAAACCATTCTTCATGTCTTGTATAAAGCTGACCTTATTTTTTTTATATCTATGGTGTCTGTAAGTTAATGTTGATTCCTGATGTCTGTGTGAACAAGTCCATGAAGTTTTCTTGGCAAGAATTTGGAAGTGCTTTCTTATTACCTCTTTCCTACTGCTGAGAGAAAGTAATTGGCCCAAGGTCAACCAGATGGCTTTCTGCCTAAGGCAGGACTAGAACTCAGAGTCACTCACTTTCTTGCCTGGTATCTTAGCCACCATATCAAACTGGCTTTCATTGATTTATTTACTAACTTTAAATATTTAGTTGCAGGCTATTAAGTGAATGCAACCACAGTTCTTTTTTAAGAGGGTTGTTGGGGTGGTGGGAGGGGAGTTTTCCTGGAAAAAATCAAAATAGTAAGAACAACCATGTGACCAAAAGCCTAACTCTTTTTTATGGGAGTTGTCCATGCCATCAAGCTCTCCCACCCCCCAAAGGTGCTTATTTTCCTGGGCTTAGTGTGAAGTGTGTTGTATAAGACAGACTGCATGTTGCTCTAGGGCAGCTGATTTTTCTTGTTATAGGTTCACAAAAAGGACTGGGTCTAAAGGGAGTTGCCAAGTTCTTCCTAGGAGCATATTGACATATCTTCTTTGCCCCTTCTCTCTTCCTATTTCTCTTCCCTTCCTGTTTTCTTTCATGTTGCCCTTTATCGGTATCCTTAAGTCCATAGAATTAGGGTTGGGGAGTTGGTGCAGTTTCTGCTTGGAGTTCCCCTTCCTTTTCAGTATCTGAAAAAAATTGCTATTTATTCATTAGATTTTCCTACTGCTGCAATTCTCTAGGCTTCATTTCCATTGCTTAGCAGCTAATCTTACACATTCTCACCAGGAAATATGAGATTATCCCCAAGTTTCTCAAATGTTTTCAGAAATGTCAGGGTCAGTATTCCATTTGTCACAAGAAATGGAGTCTCCAAACAATGTGGAAACAAAGTTTTCTGCTCTACTACTGCTCACCCTTGTGATATACCCTTGTCTCAATAGTACTACAAAGACCCAAAACCATTGCTATCTCCAAACCTGTAGGTTGAAGAAAGGGCCAGCTAACTGTGAACTTCATTAGTTACTTTGCATGATGTTTATTTTAATCTGTTTCATTTTATGAATAAATGCAAAGAAGCAATGAATGTCAAAATTGGAAAGTGAACCACAACGTCTCTTCAGCAAACCTTCTTCCATTAGGAAATTCTTTGTTTTATAACCCAAGGCAGCCACCTTATGGTCTGCTGGCTCTTTAATCATCCTGAATTTTTACTGAAAGAAAAACATTAATTTGGAAGATAGACAGTGCTCTATGAAGCAAAATTTTATCTCTTAACTAAGATTTCTTGGGTGTTATGACATTCCTTCCCCCCTCAAATGTTACATTTGGATGATAATGATATCCTGAACTTCTATACTAAATCAATTTTGGATAAATAGCTAAGTTGGTGATCTCTGCAGGAAGAAAGCCAGATGGGCAGACAGATAAAATGAGTATCCCTTTCTATGTACATTGCAATGTTGCATGTTCCCTCATAGGACAGATCTTGTGGTGAGAATTCTTTTAAAAGCAAGAAGTTCCTATGATTGCTCACTGGACTAAGCTCAGCATGGGAACCACTTCTTAAATGAAGCAAGACTTCTGTGAATTCAACCCCTGTGGTTATACATGCATGCAATGCTCTCAGAATTTCAAATGTGTCCTTCTATCCCATTTAGCAACAATTTTCAGTTTCAAAGATGATGGAAAAGTGCCTTTGTAATCAATCATCATATTCATGACTTTCTCAGGTCTGCTTGATCTAACAACCAAATTGCTGAATGTCTATGGAGATTCTCAGTCATCCAGGTCATGGTTGTCCCAAAGATGCTTTTTCAAGAGGAGTCAAAAAGGGCATCTATATCAAAATTGAATAGCCCTTTCTCAACAGAGGGGGAGGGATAGAACATCATTTATCTCTAATCTACAACACAGTCCTTTCAACAGTTCTAAGAAGGCTCCATACCCATTTGCACCAATCACGTGACCCTGATGACACAGATAAACCTCCAGGTGATCTTAATGACCTGCTAAAAGAATGCAAATGTCCCGCTGTCTAGAAAGAGTATAAATCCTTCCATTCTCCACCATCCAGTCAGAGCTGAAGAAGCTTCTTGGATGAGAAGTGAAATGTCTTCAAAGAAAAAGCATCTTTGGGACAACTAAATTACTGGTCCCAATTTGTTGCTAAATTGGGGACCACATGTAGTTGATATCCCCTCTATCAAATTAGTGTGAAACTTTAGCATGGCAGTCCAGTGATGGACTTAGTCTGGGGAGAGATTAAAAATATAACTTTGGTGAATGATTCACAAACATAAAGGCACTATCAGTGGGAGAAAGGGTGCTTTGGGGAGCTAGTGATTCAGTACTTAAACACCTGGTTCTTTTGAAGGCCCCTCTTGAATCCCTAAAATCTCTCCAAGTTACATTTTAAAAGGGTTCAGGAATCATCGAGCTGTAGATTTGAGATGACTTCAGAGACAACTTGACCAACCCTCTGCAATGCCTCAAAACCATTGAAATCAGAAGTTGTTTTTGGACATCTTTAGAAAGAAATAGATAAAAAATGCTAGACTTTCAGCATTCCATCTGGCATATTTTATCCTGGCACATGTGTAGTAGCCTCCTGTCTTTGTGCTCGAAGTCATATGTAATTAAGAGGATGAAGATGAGACTATACTGCTATCCCTCAATATCCTTTGACATATTTTCTGGGCTTCACTAGTTCCCACATGCAATATTGGGGATAATACAGTAGCATCCATGGGACAGACAAGAGGAGTACATGAAGAAAATCTATAACCATTGTGTTTTGATGATAATTGCTCAAATATTTTTTTTCCTAAATGCAGGACAACCTGATGCTTGTGTGAAGAATGGTGGCTTCTGCCAGATTGGCCTCCATAAAAAATGCGTGCATGGAAGTCTCCCATATAACTGTGGCATTAATGCCAAGTGCTGCGAGGGTTTGCTGGTGAGATCCATGTCTTTCTTAGTTGTGAGATGAGAAATATGTGGGCATTGTATTTTTCTGTTGCAAAACTCTGCATAAGTATTAGTTGCTTGCAAGATCATAAGTATTTTCTCTATTTGCTATCAGCTATTGGTCATCTGAAGTTTTATTGCTCATATCTGGAAAGCCTAATTAAGAAGCCACATTAACAATTTAAGAAAAAGGATCTAACTTCTTTATTATTAAGCTTCATACATGCTTACCTGAACCATGATAAGCTTTTCAAAGGTTCCATTTGTTAAAATTTATATTTATTGAGGATCCTACATAAAGTAAAAGACAAATTTAAAGAAAAAGAAAAGAAGAAAAAAGGAAGTGCAAGAAAAAATAGAAAGAAAAAAGTGCTAGTTATGAAATAGAATGACTTCCGACTTTCTTGTCAACAATTATTAGACAACACCATTTTTAGCTTTCTCAACACTTTTATCAACTCACATTTCACCTTCATTCAGTTGAAAGCACAAAGCTCCTGAAAGTGTTTCTGAACTGAAGTTTGTGAAAACAAATTGGAGGTGAATGAGGTTTGGTACAATAGGCTGGGAATGACTTGTTAACTAAAGGATAATGGCATGGCTGGGGTCCACATTATAAAGGCTATGAGCTAACGGTCCATTTCCTCAATTCCCAAATTTCTTACAAGATGTGTTCTGCCTGAAGGCTTCACTGAGATATATAGGTACTGTTGTTGGGTACTGGATGCTGAGCTAGCTGATGTTTTTTTTTTTTTTTGATCAAGAGAGATTGAAACAGAACCTCAATGTGACCATGCATAGCTTGTTACATTTTAGCAATTGGACAATAGAAACAATAAGAAATTAACTTACTAGATTCACAATAAAATCTGAAATTGTGGCCCCCAATCTCTTGTCTATACCTCTATCCATTATTTTGGACAAGACAAAGTCACATCAGTAATATTTTCTGTTTCTTTTCTGCAGTGAAGCCACCAACGACAAGCACTTGTGAAACTCTGGGAGGTTATTGCCAGAAGCTTGCCTCTGTAGTGTGACATGAACATTGTCTCTCTAGTGTGGAATATTCAGCAATTGTGATATTAATGGAGGATGTTGCAAACTGTTATGTAACAGCAAGCAGTGAAACAACATTGTAATTAAACAATTTAATGAATTTGGATCAAATATTTGAATTTTGTATTGTATTTTGAAAGCTCCTGCTGCAAGTGCTGATTTGAGTCTGATTAACATGTTCTTATGAAGTAATTAGCAACTTTCCTCTATGAGTTGAGGAGATGGTCTTCATCCCATCTCCACTTATATCTGAGGGAACTTAAAATTTGTTTTTAAGTAACCTGGTATTTCCCTTATTACACAGTCAACCAGTCATTGCATTCTTGCCATGGGATTAATCTTGACCACCTTCACAACCATTCAGAGGATAGCATAGTCAGTTGATTGCTGGAAATGGGAATAGTCAAGTACTTCTTGCCCAGTATATAATGGGGCTTCCCATCTCCCCCATTTCTTGGCATTAGTTTCAAGGGCTCTTCTCCTTCAGCTTGAGGGAGAGCCTGGACCTTTCAAACTAGGCTTTCCCCCTTCATCTGCCATGCCTTCAAGTCAATCTTCTGTTAGGAAAACCAGGTCAGCCTGAAGATCAGTGGGCCTGCATTGATGATGACTGAGGCTCCAGGATGAAACAGGAGGGACACAGCTTGTGTTTTCTTTGTGTGTGTGCTTCACTGGAGTGTGCTTCACTGGAGTTTTCGTTTCTCATTTTGTTCTAGTTTCTACATACCCATACATATTTAAATATGTATACTACCCAGTGATTGTACACTAGGAGAAATTTTTCTGGAAAAGTGGTTGGTGATAGTGTTGACTTAATAGATTATCTCCAGGAGGTTGGAAACTACAGAGTCAATTTTAGACTAAGACTGAGTAGGCACTGATCTCAGCGAGCACCAGTAATTGCCCCTCTTTCTGAATCTTAGAAATGCAAATCTTTCACATTGGTGAGGCATGGAACCTTCAGTTGGGGTGGCCTAGTGACACCATATTTCTCTGAGTCAGAATTCGCTGGAAGAGTTCAATAGTGATTGTGTGGGAAGGGCAAAAAGACCTCCACTGGAGGAAGTCATGGGGGCCAACTGAAACTAAATGGACATGATATCATTTCCAAATGTTCCATGGATCCTACTCATAGAAAGCCAGAAATATTTCACTGAACCAACCAGCAAATCTTGGAGCTTTCTTGAAACCTTTCTTCCAATAATTTTTGAGAAAAGAAAATATATAATAATGTCAGACAATTACGATTGTGCCCATCAAATTGGTCATTTTAAGCAATTCCAGGCTGGGCTTGGTGACTCCAGCTCTATCTTAGCATGTGAAAACAGCAAATCATAAATGGTTCATTTTTATCACACATTAGATATAATTATATGCATACAGGTTATTTTGACTTTATTGATTGTATTTTTGATAGGGTGCATTGAAAGGGCTTTTTAAATATGAAACTCTTTTTGTAAATGTTTTTGTAAGATTGAAATAAAGTTAGAGAAATGAAGTGTCAGGGTTCTGGCAGTTGCTCCAATTAACAACACTCCAACATTTCGTATACACGTTTTATAGTTGACAGAAGCATTTGGTGGAGACATATACATGAGTTTCACTAGTTGTTGCTGTTTTTTCCTTTCAGTTTGCACTGAAAAAATATTTTAATTCTTTTCAGATGCATTTATGCCCTTTAGTCTGATTATCAGTCTGAATATGACTGAAGTACTTTACTAACTGAGTGAAAATACTAAGCCCATAGATTATAACATCATTGTTGATGACATCCAGCTGACAAATGAAACAGCTTCAAATACTTAGGAAGCCTCATCTTGAGGGAAAGGTCTTTGGACAAAAACATCAACTTCAGAATCAGCAATGTCAACCAAGCACTGGGACGGCTACATACTAGATTGCTCAATCATGTGTTTTCACAAAGCTAAAAGTTTACAAGCTCTGCTTATTCCTTCCCTCCACAGTGGATGTGAGTCCTGGATGCTGTATCAAAGGCACATCAAGCAACTGGAAAAAAAATCGAACATGTGCAGTCTTCGTTCTATCCTTGGCATTTGTTGGCCAGATTGTGTCTCCAACTTGGAGGTCTTGGATCATGCAAAGTCCACCAACATTGACTTCCTAATTTTCAGAGGCCAGATAAGATAGGGACACATCAGTAGAATAGATAACTACCATATGCCTCTCTAGTTGCTCTATACTGCATTTGAGTCTGGGAAGAGACCTCAAGATCAATCATTCAAGTGCTATGAAAACACTGTGAAAGAAACTCTGTGCCACTATACCATTCAGCCTAGGGAACTAGAAGCTGTAGCTGCTGGCAGGACTCACTGGTGAGCCTTGTGTTATGAAGCCTCCACTTGTTTTAAAGAAATGTGTTGATGAAAACTGATAAAAAACCATAAACAGGATCACAGAATAACACACATATATACTACAACAATGGAATTCTGGTGGCCCAATTATTCTGGACTGCTGGACTAGACTGGGATGGCAGAGCCACTTCTGTGTCCACAGATGACATGCACAACAGAGCGTCTTCTTTGAACATGAACAACCATCATATATAATTGCCCTAAACCCACGATGTTCTCTGAGTCACTCCTTACGTCTTATAACTGCCTAAACAACTGCAGACACTTGCATTAAAACAAATATTTCTATTCAATGGAAATGATTTATGAGTAGGTACTGTAAGATTGCAGTGGATGGCTGTTGCACTCTAAGCTTCCTAGTAAAGAAAAATGTTGATCTTCCTGAAGGCAAGAAGGAAGTTCATTTTTATTAAGAAGTCTTTACATACACTTCTGCAAAGCCTTTGATTCAGTGGTACATGACAAACCACTGTTGAAACTAAGCTCTTATGGCATCTCTGGATCCCTGCATAAGTGGATAGCTGCATTCCTGTCAAACAGGCAACAAATAGTCAAAATAGGGAGGGCCCTATCAAATCTGACACCAATTAACAGCAGTGTCCCCAAGGCAGCGTTTTAGGACCCACACTCTTTCTGCTTTACATCAACAACTTATGCAATCATATTAAAAGCAGCTGCGTTCTCTTCACCGACGATGTAAAATTATTTAACACCACTGACAATGCTGCTGCCCTACAAAGTGACATTGACTATGTGTCAGAATGGTCACTTAATTGGCAATTCCAAATTTCAACTAATAAATTTTCTGTCCTACACATTGACAATAAAAATCAGAACACAAAATACAAGTTGGGCAGAAATGATCTCATAGATGACCCTCACTCTGTCAAGGACCTAGGAGTACTCTCCTCAAATGATCTAAACCCCAAAGCTCACTGTAACAGCATTGCCAAAAAGGCATTAAGAGTTGTTAACCTTATTTTGTGATGCTTCTTCTCAGGTAATATTGAATTGCTAACTAGAGCATACAAAACCTTTGCCAGACCAATTCTTGAATACAGCTCATCTGCCTGGAACCCACACTGTATATCGGACATTAACACAATTGAACGGGATCAGAGGTATTTCTCGAGAAGAATACTCCACTTCTCTACTCACAATAGAATTCCCTATGCCTCCAAGCTTGAAATTTTGGGCTTGAACAATCTGAAACTGTGCCACCTAAGGTCCGATCTAAGCATAGTACACAAAATTGTCTGCTACAATATCTTGCCTTATTCAGCTTCAACCACAATAATACAAGGACAAACAATCGATACAAACTCAAGGTAAACTGCTTCAGACTCAATTGCAGAAAATATGACTTCAGCAACAGAGAGGTCAATGCCTGGAATGCTCTACTCAACTCCATTGTTACAGTCTCAAACGCTCACAGCTTCAATCTCAATCTGTCTACCGTGGACCTCATCCCATTCTTAAGCGGTCGTTAAAGGGGGCATGCATAAGCGCACCAGTGTGCCTACCATCCCTGTCTTACTGTTCCCATTTATCTGTCTTTACTTCCTTTGTTCTTGTTTATGTTTATGCTTATACTTGTTATCTTGTACATGTTTGACAAACAAATAAAATAAATAAAAATAAAAAATACTTTGTATGTGACAAAATTTTCCTTTTTTTAAAAAAATCTAGTGATAAAATATTTTTAATATTTTCAACATTTAGCACTCTATTAATAGTTTAAAATCATATTTTCCCGTGAACTTTATTCACCATAGTATTAATGTCAATGTCAGGATTCCGGTGATTGCCCTTATTAAATCATGACCCTTGAGCCAAACTTCAAAAAACTTCAAAGAATTCATTAGGAGTGACATACTGGCATGATCTGTATGAAGCTGATTCTGGCATACATAATTACAGTCACCTGCTTCCCCCCGGGTGTGCCATAAATCAGTTTATCCAATTAAGCATGTACATGGGCCAGGTGTCATCCATCATGTTCTCCAATTATAGTTTTTCGCAAGGCAAAAGCTTCAGTAGCTTAGCTACAATATTTTTAAAGATAAAGTTGGAATGTGCTTCTAAGTTCATTTGCTGGATGCTTCTCTAGTCCCAGTCTCCCCCACTCACTTTCTTATGGCAACTTGGAAACAAGTGTAGGAATGTTTTACAAGTTGACAGTCAAACTAAAAAAAGAACTAACAATGAATGTGTCCATTGCACAAACAGTGAAGTTCCTTGGCATTTATTATATCTCTAGCATATAGAACAGGGGTGGGATTCTATTGGTTCTATCCAGTTCTATAGAACCCCTAGTTAACTTTCTAAGCAGTTCGGAGAACTGGTAGCTAGAAGCAATCTCCTTTCGTTTTTTCCATCCTTATTACATTCTTGGCAGACAGCCTAGACTTCCTGTCTCCGGAGTTTCTGAGGCTTTCTTAAAGGGGAAGGGTTGTTTTAAGATTTTTACACTGCTGTTGGGAGGAAATACTTCCCTGGACAATCAGCACTTTGAAGAAATAATTGAATAATGAAGCAAAGCTTTTGGTGACAGGGAATCAAGATGAGTGATATTCAGCAAAGCTTCTTGGCTAGCTAGAAAGATTGACATTCAAACATGAGTTTACATACCTTTTCTGAGTTTTGATCTAAAACTGGTTTTTGGTGAAGGTTAATTCTGTGCTTGGTGACGTTTAATCCCGTGTTTATTGATGGGATAATTTTCCTTATTC